CCCCCTGCCTGTGTTGTGTCTGCGAGCTAGTGTGTATTGGTGCGCACAGGTTTGCTTCTTGCCGGGCATCCGTCTGCACCTGGCGCATGCTCCTGCCATGTCTATGTAACCTCTGTATTCAACTCTTTCTCTCTCTTTTTTTTCCAGGACTTCAGGGAATCCAGGAGTTCAGGACAGAGGCAAGAACTTGGTAAGTATCTCATGAAAGCTGTTTTCTAACGCTGGGGCCCCTGATGTCATCCGCCTTGAAGTCCAACCCCAGATGAAATTTCCAGATTTACCCTAGATCTATTTCCTGGCCATCATTTTCCCAAAGCGACTAGCAAATTGCAACTGGTCTCTTGTTTTTTTTTGGTCCCTTTGCCGGACCGGAGATGCCTCCTTCACACACACACCCCCCACCTCCCGGCTTGAGATTTTCCCGGAATCAAGTGCGTGGGAAGTGTTTCGAATTGGACGTCGTGAAAACGAAGGGAAAGGGGACCGAATTCGCTCGCCCCTTTGGGGAGAATGACTCCTGCCATATCTTAGCTCCCGCCGGCCACATCTCGCGAGGGTGGGAAGGGCTGGAGGAGTAAGGGAAACGCCGATCCGTCTGACCATCCATTTGTCCTTTCCAAAGCAGGCCCTATGACGCTGAAGTTGCAAGCCCAGTCCTTGACGAAGCCGGCGGCCCATGTCGTAGGTAAGCGGAATTGACAGCTGGGAGCGGGCAGGGTTGGAGGGATGGGTCCCGGCCTCCTGAAGGGGGGCACGTGGTTGGGGGTTTCCAAGTCCCAGGGCAAGACAGGAACATGGACTTCCCCCCAGACGAGCACCCGTTTCTGCGGGAGAACCTTCTACTCCCAACCCTAGACCTAAACGTGAGGGGGTGATGGAGGCCAAAGTGTTGGGGTTACTTGGACGTTGTCAGCTGAGTGGACAGTGCCAAGTAATCCCACTAGGCTTCGACCTAGTGTTATCAAGGGTTGTGGGCCGAAAGCAGAGGTGGGGCTACACCTGGGCAGACTGACCCTCTGGAGCGACCCAGGTAGGGTTTGGCTCTTCGTAGATGGCTCCTAGGGGGTTCCCCTGCTGGGTTTTGACCATGCGTGTCGTCTTCTGCCCGTCCCAGCTTCCCATGAATCCAAAGAACTCGTCTGGAACGACAAAGTGGCTCACACCATGATCCAGAACGGGATGAAGCTGGTGGACAACAAGCTAGTGGTGCCGGCCAACGGCCTCTACTTCGTCTACTCCCAAGTGGTCTTCAAGGGGAACAAATGTCCGGAGGAGTCCGTTCTCCTCCGGCACATCATCTTGCGCTTCTCCGAAGAGTACCCACAAGACGTCCCCTTGCTGACAGCCATCAAGTCGCTCTGCGAGGGGTCCAAGTCAGCCGAGACCGAAGTGTGGTACGAGTCCATCTACCAAGGTGCAGTCTTCCAGCTGACAAAAGGCGACGAAATCTCATCCAAAATTGACTCGGCCGATTATTTGGATCTGGACAGCAACGGGCAGGTGTATTTCGGGGTGATCGCATTGGAATTAGGTGCTCCTCAACAGTGAGCCACCCTCTTTTGTTCTTGACCAACTCATCTTCCATCCTTGATCAACCCACCATCCTTGGTCAACCCATCATCCTCCATCCTTGATCAACCCATCATCTTCCATCCTTGGTCAACCCTTCATCCTTGGTCAACCCATCATCCTCCATCCTTGGTCAACCCTTCATCATTGGTCAACCCATCATCCTCCATCCTTGGTCAACCCTTCAACCCTCCTACCTACAAAACCATGACTAGCATCCCACATATCACACTGACCGTCAGAGATGGCCAAAAGACCTCTTTGGACCTCTTTCATGCCTCTCTGACATTATGCCCCACGTCACCACTGAAATGCCCACCTCCAGGGGCAAGAGCGGACCACAGTCTCTTTAGACATGGGGCAGGAGGTTGACGCTTGGTTAGACCCGAACAGAAATGAGTCAGAAGAGGCCGGGTCGGAACCGTTGACCTACAAAAAAAGAAGTGTCAAGTAAGACTGTATTGTTATTGTGGTTTATTATTGATAATTATTTGGCTTAATTATTTATTTATTTATGTATTTCTATTTATTTGGGGTTAAACAAAGCTGCGCATTTGCATTGAGAGATTTTTGTGTGTCTGTGTGTTGTACACACGTATGACAAATGTCGGCGATCGGGCGGCAAATTCTAAGCGATGGGGCATAGCCCAAAGTCCACACGGCTGGGTGTGTGCAGGATTATATGTGTGTGTGTGTGCACAAAGAGTCAAGAAATGGCGTCGAGACACAAACACATCCCCGGCGGTGTGGGCTTGTTTCTAGACCCGTTGCCGTGGGTGCCCCTACACAGAGACGCCCAGCCATGCAGGCAACATTGGTGTGAGAAGAGACAACTTTGTGTGCACGCACACACACACACACACAGCCGTGGAGGATGTGACGTTGTGTGGCTCTTTACCTGAGCAGCAACACAACCTCACATGGACCCCGCCCTGTTGTGGAGAGTGCTTTGTGATGGCTGGACCACACACACTCATGCCTCGGTTGCCAGGGTGTTCCCCTTTGGCACACACTTAGTAGAGGATCCCTGTATGTATACAATGTATACATGACCCTAGCTAGCTATATGGATGTATATTACACACAGCTGGGATGCCTGGATTTTCTCCCAGCTCAGGAAGGACAGCGGGGCCTGGTGGTTAGGCATCTGGGAGCCAGGACTCCTGGGTTATTCAGGGAGACGTGGTGGTCTCATTGTGAGGGAAAGAAATATTTGTATCTGCGATACAGTTCCCTGATCATGTCTCTCTTCGGGGATTTCGATTGTCTTACGTTTTATGTTAAAATGTCATGGGGGAGGGGAGGGAATCTAATTCGTTCAATGTTGGCCAGAACAAACCTCTCGCCGCACCTTCAGGAAGGGTGGCAAGGTTTGATTTTGTGCCGGGTCTTTTTTATTGTAGTTATTATTCGGGGTCTCTTCCCCCTGCGTGGGGAGAGGGAGGGGAGAGAAGGAGGGGGAAAAATGTTTGTATTTTGTTGAAAAGCTCCTGTGAAACAGACTGAACAATAAACCTTGGAAGCAGAAATTTGAACTGCGCGAGTGTCTCTTTCGGATGGGCCCATCTAGCGCGGTATCGGGCCTGCTCCATACACACCAGGGGCTTCCCCCCTACACCCACATCAAACTTATTTACTCGTCCCCCGTGACAGCTAGGGAGTCACCCAAGGAAATGAAGCAGCGGCAGGTTTAAAACAAACCAGAGGCAGTGTTTCTTCATGCGGCACACCGTTAACCTGTGGAACTCCTTGCCAGAGGATGTCGCGAAGGCCAGGATTCAAAAAAGAACTGGATACATTCACGGAGGTTGGGTCCACCAATACTTTTTAGCCAGAATGGGTAGGAATGGAGACCTCCGGTTTGTCAGAGGCAGGGAATGGGTGACAGGGAGGGATTGCTTGATTCCCGTCTTGCCAGGGTTTCATCTGCAGTTCACCTATTCCTCCCGGGCCTCTTTGGCATGGTCCAGGACCATACTGGAGTACCCGGTCGAAGTCTCAGGGATTTCTCTCATGGCAAACATGACCTATGGCAGCAAACTATCCCTGTCTTTCTCCTCCTGGCTCACCACCTTCCGTATCCTGCTTTTCAGGGCCCCGCTAAACCATTCAACCAAGCCATCTGTCTGGGGGGCGGGAGGAGGGGACAGACCGACGTCCTCAGGCCCGTTTGCAGAGTAGTGTCCACAAAGTCCTTCATTAACTTGCACCCAAAGGCGGTTCCCTTGAGCTGTTATGTGGATATCCCCACCCGAGAGAAAATGTGGATGCAATGGTCGTGGACAGGGTATGACGTAGGCTGGCAGATTGGGCAGTGTAGTCTAGAATAATTAGCATGTGCTGACGGCCCGGCGCCAATTCCTCTAGCAGGCCAGTTAGATCCTCTGGAAGGGGACTTCAGCCTTTGGCAGATGTGTTTGGTGATTTAACCTGCCCTGGAATGGTTTGTATCCCACTGCTGACACCAGCTGTTGGTGTTTCTGTGTCTACCTGTCTCTCCTCTCCCTTCCACCCAGCAGGGAAGGCTTTTAAAAGGTCTCTGGCAGGCCCAGAAGTGGAGTCAGCTGGCCCTATTGCTCCACGGTAGCCCTGTCCCAGCTGTTCCTAATCTGCCTGAGATAGCCCCTTGTCAGCTGTTCCCGCCTGACCCCGTTCTAGTTCAAAGGGAAATCGGCTTTTTACCTTCCTAGCCCTGCCTTTTCCCACTTTCTAGGGCTTGACTTTATCACTCGACAGAATCACTTTCTTTGAACAGAGGAAGAAGCCCCACAGAGAGGGGGGCTAGCGGTAGATGTGGTAGATTTCGACTCTAGTAAAGCTTTTGATACGGTTTTACATCACTTGCTCATAAACAAACGGAAATGCAACCTAGATGGGGCTACTATAAGGTGGGCGCAGAACTTAACCGTTCTCAGAGAGTCGTTATTAAGGGTTTGCAGTCCTGCTGGAAGGACAGAACAAGTGGGGTTCCCTAAGGGTCTGTTTTGGGACCGGGTCTGGTCAATATCTTCATCAACGATTTAGATATCGGCATAGAGATATTGAAATTATCGAAATATCTTATTACGTTTGCAGCTGATCCCAAGCTGGGAGGGGTGGCGAGGGCTTTGGGGGACGGGTCAGAATTCAGACTGATCTGGACACATCTGAAAAATAGTCGGAGGTCAGTCAGATGACATTGAATAAAGACAAACGCAAAAGCTACGTCTACACGGGCATGATTTTCCGGAAATGCATTTAACAGAAAAGTTTTCCGTTAAAAGCATTTTCGGAAAAGCGCGTCTAGATTGGCAGCACGCTTTTCCGCAAAAAAGCCCCGATGGCCATTTTCGCCATCAGGGCTTTTTTGCGGAAAACAAATCTGAGCTTTCTACACTGGCCCTTTGGCGCAAAAGCTTTTTGGAAAAAGACTTTTGCCCGAACGGGAGCAGCATCGTATTTCCGCAAAAGCGCTGACAATCTTACGTGAGATCGTCAGTGCTTCTGCGGAAATTCAAGCGGCCAGCGTAGACAGCTGGCAAGTTTTTCTGGAAAAGTGGCCAGTCTCGACACAGCCAAAATGAATAAGGACAATTTTTGAAGTTGAGTTAGGACAAATGCAAAGTGCTCCACTTAGGAAGGGACAATCACAGAACGGGAAGCGACTGTCCAGGGAGGAGTCCTGCAGAAAGGGCTCTCGGAGTCAAAGTGGACCACAAGCTGAACAGGAGCCAACCGTGTGATGCTGTTGCGAAAAAAGCCAACATGACTCCGGGCTGCATGACCAGGCGTGTGGCCCAACCGTGTGATGCTGTTGCGAAAAAAGCCAACATGACTCTGGGCTGCATGACCAGGCGTGTGGTGGGCCAGACCCGAGACGTCACCCTTCTGCTTTGCTCGGCGCTAACTAGGCCTCAGTTTGGGAGTGTTCTGGGCCCCGCATTTCAGGAGAGCTGTGGAGAAGCTGGAGAGGGTCCAGAGAAGAGCAACAGGAACGAGGAAAGGCGCTAGGAGGGGAGGCGGAAGGAATTGGGTTTTTTAGTTTGGAAAGGAGCAGACAGAGGGGACGTGAGAGCCGTTTTCAGGTATCTAAAAGGGTGTCATACGGAGGAGGGAGAAAACTTGTTCTTCTTGGCCTCCGAGGACAGGACAAGCAGCAAGGGGCTTAAACTGCAGCCAGGAAGGTTGAGGTTGGACATCAGGAAAAACTTCCTGTCGGGGTGGTTAAACACTGGGATAAATTGGAATCTCCATCTCTGGAGATATTGAAGGGCAGGGTGGGCAGACGCATGTCAGGGATGGTGTAGACGGGGCCAGGTCCTGCCGGGAAGGCCGGGACTTGATGCCTCTCACGCTAGGGGGCAGACGCCCGCTCTGGGCCCCTCATGGGGCCCCCCTGCCTGGGCTGTCTGCGCCCCCGAGGATCCTGGACAAGCCGCCTCATCCATATCTGGCGCTGGGCAAGTCCTTGCTTTCGAAGGAAGCTAAATTTAGTCCTCAGCTCATCACCCTCCTCTTGCCTCACCCAACCCACTGAGTCACATCCTCTGAGAAACCGGGGTGGGTATTTTGAGCAGGGCCAGGGCTTGGGTGCGCAAGGGAAGGAGTGGGGACTAGTGGTTACAGCACACCGTTTGGAGTTCCCATTCCCCGGCTCCCGGAGGGGAGGTGGATCTAGTGGGGGGCTGGGAACCGGGGCGCCTGGGTTCTCTCCCCAGGCCTGTGACGAGAGCGGGGCCTAGTGGTTAGAGCAGGGGAGGTGGGCGCCAGGAAGCCTGAGTTCTATCCCCAGCCCTGTGAAGAGAGCAGGGGCTAGTGGTTAGAGCAGGAGGGGGAATGGGTGCCAGGAAGCCTGAGTTCTCTTACCAGCTCTTGGAGGGCAGTGGGGGGTAGTGGTTAGAGCAGGGGGGAGGGCAGGATGAGCACCAGGACCGTGCAGGGGAGCGCAGTCGGATGTGTCAGAGCGGAAGGGGCCGCGTGCCCGGACTCCGGGGTTCTCGTGAACCTCCCTGGCGGAAGGCCCTGGGTTATTTTTGGCCCCCCGAGGCCGCAAATTTCCTTCCCTTTTTGTGTCAGGGGCTGTCGTGAACCTCCCTGGCGGAAGGCCCTGGGTTATTTTTGGCCCCCCGAGGCCGCAAATTTCCTTCCCTTTTTGTGTCAGGGGCTGCTGTGTGGCAAGCACAGTTTTGCCCCCAAACGCACCTGCTCCCGCACAGCCTCCCCCCAGCCCCCCGACCTTGCCCTGCTGTGCCCCAGACCCAGAGAGACCCTACAATAACAAACCGCCCCCCCCCAACACC